AACCTACCAGAAAAGTTGCTGTTGAAGACAATCGAAGAACTTTTACTGTCCCAAACCGCGATGACAGACACAAAAATTAAATAATAAATTAAAAACTTAAAAAATTAAGAAACACATCACATTATTGTAAAATCGATGCATTTATCGCTCTGCTTGGAATCTAAAACACATTAAATATTATATAAACTCAATTTTGTTTTTAATTTTAACATATTAAAATCTGAACAATGTAAATTTGTTGATTTTGTTGGTATTATTGACTATTCAAATTTCAATTAATTTAATTCTGTGTTTAGGTTTTGTGTTCTTTGAAATTTAACCTACATAATACATTATAATTGTATTATATTCTGATATAATATGTCGATTTATCGATACACACAATAATAATGGAAACGTCACTTCTGTCAAAAACAGAGTGCAAATTATATACTATCACTGTTAAAACATATAAATAATTCCTTAGTTTCGTCAATTATGAAATAAAATATATCGAAATTATCAGCTTTATCACTAAGTATATAATAACTTATACTTATCATTATACATTTATAAAAAACAAATGTCAAAAAATTATAATTTAATAGATAATAATAATAATGTCCAAATTGTTGAATTTTTATAGTTAATTATTTACAACATTTTAAAATTGTATACATTTAATACTCAAAATTAATAACAATTTTTCAACTGGATAAAGGGTAATATTATGTCACTCCTAAGTGCTTAATTTTTTCATAAACATTGTTATATAATCATTACATTCTAACAGCCATCTGATCTGAGTTCGGCATTCTAAAAATGTTTTGATTTGTTTCTAAAATGTCAACTAAAAGTTATGAACATAATATGAGAGATTATTAAAACGACAAGCGAATTCATATGAAACTTTTGGAGCACTTGTTTTACTCTAAATAGTAGTCACGTACATAAAAAAAACAATCCATAATTGTAAATTTATAAGAATAATACATTCCTATATCTGCACAAAATCTTAAAATGACAGAAAAAAATACATTTGATAAGTTTACAATAAAAATTAATACCCTACGATTTTCAACGCAAGTGCCGAATTAGAAAATATGATAATGTATGTGTATGTGTACTACACCTGTTTCTCCATAATTGTAGAATGTCAGGATTACGTTAAATTTACATCATAATATGTTGTACACATATCCTCAAACTTTGAGTGTTTAAATAATTTCAATTTTTACCCTAAACAGTAAACATGACAAAAAAAATCTGTTAACATCTTATACCCATCTTAATCAATGATTAGTTTTATATGCCTAGTTATAACAGTTCAAACAAAATAAACAACGAAAGAAAATATCTTAAAAAAACTATAATTTTCTAAACAATATTATGCATTATTGTGTATTATTAATTTATGATAAAAAAATGAGTACAACATTTTATGTTAATGCTAGATAGAAATGTATCATATTATTTTAAATAGGTTGAATCTCTAAATGGTTTAAGTGAGGGACAATTAATATTTAATGTATATTATAGATGGAAGATAAATGATGATATAATATGTGTTACAAATATATGGTATTGTTTCCCATTTCATTTTAAAATGCTGTTCTTAGTCCCCAGTTCGTATGAAGGAGGAAGTTAATATTCAAAAAAGTCCAAATAAAAATTATGAATATTATGAATTTCTATTAAATTGTTTAATAATATACATTATTTTGATTTTGATTTATACTAGAGCGCTGAGCGACTATGTACATTGAATTGATGATGATTGAATGTTTTTTAAATTATCAAAACTTAATTCACATTAATTTCGACGCTTTCCTACAACTATGTAAGACGTACCGGCAAAAAAAAATGACTAATAATAAATTACCAATATTATAGTGGTTCGACCAATTCTTTCATGAGAATTATTGTAGTCAAATTGTATTGATACTTAAACTTGCCTAGATGGGAAATGCGTTTTTAAAAACATCTTTTGAAAAAAACATAATACACAATATTTTATTTTCATTTCTGATCGAGTTTTAATATTTAGTAACCATCCTAATATATTTTAAATTGTACTCGAACCATAAGTAGATAGCTAGATATTTAGGTACACCCCATAGTTTTCAACCAATAACGTTACTTTGATTTTTCTATAGGTATGTGACAAACAGCGATGACATAATATCAATCCGCTTTGCTCTGTTCATAATATACATTTGCGATTTGCTCAATAATGAGTGAATGAAAGACAACCCGAAGGAATTAAAGCGGTACAAATATTCTAACAATAATACTAGGTATATAAAAAAAAGTATAAGAATTCGATCAAAGTATAAATCCAAGCATGTGCAATTTTGGATTTTCAAGTTCAAACTGAATATTAATGAATTTAATACTTTTTGGCTTAAACAAAAATTATCGAATTGATTTCATATTTTTTGATTTACTTTATTAATGATATCATTTTTTTTATACACCCAAACACCAAGTCTCCTAGAATACCATTATCTTTTTGGTGAAGACTAAAATATATTAACTCATAAGTTAAGTGCACATAATTAACTTTGAGCTATGTTATGTTTTTATACAATACCATAAATATTTTGCTTATTTAAGGTATTCAAGAACTTCTGAACGCAATATACTTTCTACATTAATTTAATGTTTTCTTTTTCTCTTCTAGGTATCTACTTAAAACTATTGCGTTTTTAAATGAAAAATAAATTGGCTACGTCGTTGATTCTTTTTTCACCGCAATAATGGGGAAGAGCATTCGAAAAGCCGTAAAGTCGTTGGGGTTTTACAATAAATGTCTCACCGACATGGACTGGCCACTTTTATCAACTATATATAGTTCTGTGGTTACAATAGCATGAGGATAGGAAGTTGTGTGCAGTAAACAAATGAAAGAAAAAATAAGAAATAAATAAGAAATATAGGAGAAAGATCAAAATAAAACGAATTCTTTCATACAAATATAGAATTTACACAGTTACACACTTACGTACACCTACCTACCTACATCACATGTACCTATAAGTAATATAATTTTAATTTCATTGTTTCCACTCTAATCATATTCAAAACAATATGATATTCATATAACTTATTAATACTAATTTTAATAATACAGACCAATGTATGAAATCATAATTTATTATTACGAAAAATGTTGTAAAAAAGATTAAATACTAAATTAAAAAGATTTGAAATATAAGTTTATTTATAAGTCTTACATGCAAATAATATTTAATCATTTTTAGAAAACAGCTTATCTAACAGGATATTTATACAAAAACTTCAGACAAACGCGTTGCAAGAGAAACACTCGTTTGAAGTAAAAGGATTTGATCATCGAATACAATACGAATCAATTAGTTTCAAAACATTTTTAAAGTATAGTAAATATGTACATCCACAACAAGCGATTTATATCAAGGAACCATAATTATTATTAATAAGCAATAAACTTTTATTATAACTATACAAATATTCTAAGAAACAATATTGATTCTACAGAGTTGACTTTTTTCTTGGAAATTATCTTTTTCAACAGTTAAAGTCTGTAAAAGTGACATAATATCCCAACTGTGAATAGAAGAGTCACGCAGATGGCAACTACTTTAACTGTTGCAAATTATCAAAGTTTTCGAAATAAGCAAAAATAAATAATTTTTTATTATGTTGATTTAATTATTTAATTAAAATTGTAAAGCGATTTAAAATCTCTTTAGTTGTACTTTATTTTAATAATTGGAATATTACGTTCATAAGTTAATTCATGACACACATTTTTATTGTTATTATTGCCTTTTTTTAAATATAATATTATACACATAAAAATTAACTGTTCTGGTTTTATGGTTTTATTCTATCACTTGTTGCTTTGAAACTACAAAAAATTATTGAGAAAATGTAAAAGTTAACACTACGTTATTTTGACTAAATTTCCTATCTATAAAATTAACTGCAATTATATTATTGTTTCATTAGTATTATAAGAAAAATAAAATTTATGTAAGATGCACGAAATGTATATGAAAATATATTTTATTTATTGCTAATTCGATTTTGATTTAAATGTGGCTCCGCTGTATACCAATTGTAGACCTAAAAGCAACAACAAAACATCTCCATATTTTGGTCAAAACCTCGTAGTTATATGCAACACTCAGACATCTTCAAATGCTAAATACAGGGATGTATACAATTGTATTAATATTTTAGGTGTCTTGTTAGTTGTTGTTGCCCTCTGGTCTCAATATTGAAAAGTCAGTTTTTATCTATATATTTTAGAACTGAAATCAAAACTAAATATTTAAATATCCTAAATACGAGGTACTATATTTTTTCATTTCATTTTTAAGTTTTGATGGAAATTTTATTTTATCTAAGGCTCAAATAATTGAATTCCTACGTAAATATAGATACACTATAGGTATATAATTCTTTACTTGTAAATCTAAGACACTGTATTTCAGTGTTTATATGCATGGCACAATATATTTTGAATAAATTTTTAATTTTAACACTAATTAAGTTCAACATATTTTTACCAAACGTATTATTTGTTTGAGTAAGACAAAAAATAAAAGTTTCACACCTATAAGTATCTATTCAATTTTTTTTTAAATTTCAAATCTGATACGAAAATAGTAAATAGCATCACATAAGCTTATGTCAGGTACTAATAGGTACTATATATTATTAAGCAATATGATTTTAAAAAAATTGCTCCGAAATGAGTTTTGGGTGTCCATTCTGATCAAGAAGGTAAAACTTTTAGCATTTAAATTGTTTCAGTTAATCGCATGAAAAATATCAACCCAAACAATACTATTTATTTAATTAAATGTGGTTTTGACTGCGACAATCACTAGTGATAGTCACACTCTGATACGTAAATATCAGCTGACATATTCACAGTAAAACGGCGTACACTACATAATAATATTTAATAATTTATATATTACGCAACACGAATCGAGAAATACGGCTCAAGTATAAAAAACGAAAATTACCTTTTGCGCGGCTCATCATCGGAGGAGACTGTACGCTGTTGGGTCGCCAGTCGCCACGCGTGTGACTACGGGGCGGTTTTCAACCGAACACTGCCGGCGCCGCACGGTGGTTGTATACGCGGCGGCGTGTGTGAGGGTATTTTCGGGCAAAAACGCAACTCTATGGTTTAACGCACGGACGGCGGCGGCGCAAACTCCACGGCGGCGCATTCTCAGAGGCTTTCCGTGGTTTTTTTCACTCCGCCACACCATCCCTCCGCTACACCACGCACAATACCAGTCCCGCTGCAGGTCCGCGGGTTAGGACGTATACTGTGGCGGCTCCTCGTCGTCTACCATTATGGTTAGAACGCTGATAAATCCAACTGCACTCTCCCTCACACACACACACACACACACACACACACACACACACACACACACACACACACACGTGCACGCCGCAGAATGTGCTCGACGTGTTACACAGGGTGTATCCCGAAATATGTGACACGATTGTAAAATAAAATGTTACATAATGCAAAGCTGTCAAATCGTCTATGGGCACACGTGCTGTGTAATATGATACGAGTACATTGAATTCACACTCATTGCTAATCGAAAAAGACCAATATAATATATTAAATGGTTTGGTACCTCTTTGCGTGTATTATTCCACACATCAATTCCATGGGATATGTCCGTATAGATCATGCATCTTACTGATACTAAGAATTATTAGTATGACTGTTGTTGGAAGATAAATGATCAGAAAATGTTCATAAAATGACTACTTTAAATGAGGTGTTTTTAATATTAACACAAATGAATCCATTTGTAAGCTTAAAATCATTTTTTTTATAGTTAAATTAAATAATTATATTCAGAGTTTGATATGTTATCATAGAATGATTGTATTTCCACAAATTCTAGCAAAAACCTTATCAACTAAATCTTCAATACAGAATTGAATTCGGATTGTTATAATGGCATTTTGCGGTAAATAAATAAAATTTAAAATTCATAGGTGAGTAAAATATAACAATAATAACGAGGATTTTTATACCACAAACGGTACACTATTAATTTCTTGCTGCGCGCTTAAGGTTTCATATTATTATTACCATTACTATTGTAAAGTATCTCGTTATGCACACGATTTCAGTCCTTTCACTCGAGTACAGTTATCAGTTGTTCAGAAACGAAAATCACAAGTACTAGCACGTGCATAAGATTTTTGTGTTTTGACAAACAGATCTCATTCAGAGGCTACAAGTTACGTCAACAGGTGGAACGAAATAGAAACAAACGTTTTTGATTTACTGCCGTACATACACACACACACACGACCGACTGCCGTACACCACCACCGTAGTGCTCATCCCACGGCGATTGATTCGGTGAAATACTGCAATATGTTTCTTTATTATATTATTGTTTTTTCTTTCGATGCGATTTTTTTTCTCCTTATCCGCGGCCCGACTACAACATAACACACACCTTCCCCACACATATCGTTATTTACATTCGTCGTGTTGCCTATGCCGTTATTGTTTATTTATGCGTCGCGTTTGTATTTGCGTTCACCTCTGCCCGCACGCACCGAAGTTTGCACACGCTGTATGAGCTTCGGCCGTCGAACAACAGGTGTTGATCCGTTCCTTAATTCCTATCCACCGCAGTGAGTTTCATCCCCATGACGTCCATGGGACTGGGGGGCGGAGTACAGGTGACGTAGTATGTGTGTGTGCCATATATTATGTAGGTACTCGTCAGTATTCGCCTACGCGCAAAAGGCGTCTAAAAACCACCAGGTGAAAAACGACAGAGATTATCGATAGTGGATTGTTTTTCAACGTTGGAACGTAATATTTTTCACACGGGATTTGTACGTTGTTTTTCTACGGATAAGCACGGTTTGCACGTCTTATTAATAAAATAAATAAATAATCAGCCTTAATTCTATTTGCTATTCTTGATGAAAACTTTATCGACTTCCCTGTAAGTAGCAAACAAATAATGCTTAACAATTTGATTATCACAATAAATTTTAAACAAATACCTAAATTTAATTTAATAAAAAAAGATAATCGCACGGCGTTATGGGTAGACTTTTTAAGCACACCACTGTCGTAGGTTAATTTTTTTGATATAATGTCATAAGTGTGTTAAAATACAACAAAGTATAGAGTGAGACACTAAAAAGTCTAAAACAGCCTATTTTCAGAATTAATTAGAAAACGAATAAAAATTAACTATATCAATAAAATAGAATTAATTACATGGCAGGCCATTTATTTCAAAAGCACGTCGTTTACCATTATGGCATTTCGTGTTTACTAAATGGCGTAATGAATTTGAACAAATAACATTCAGTGAACAATCTTATGCTAAACAATTATAGAAAAACTCATTTTTATAATTGGCAGTGTCAACGCTCCACTCTGTATACAACATAAATGAGTGAGTATATAACTATACAAGTAAAACGAAATTACTAAACATTATAACGAAAGAATACAATTTTAGGTTCTATGAATAAAGCTATTATAAATATACTGTTTTAGTAAAAACGTTGTCATTATTTTGTATTAATGGCTTCTAGTGTCAACTATGATAAATCAACAATTATAAAGTTATTATTTAAATTATTTAAAAATTGATGATCTACTATATTATTTTGTTTCACTAAAATAGTAATCATAAATAGAGTACAAATCTTCACACATATTTTTTTTTTTTTTTGATTTAAGCTTCGGCAACTGAGGCCATTAGCTGTAGGTTGTGTGGTACTGTAGAGTTTTGGGACTGTAGGGGGGGGAACACGTGTGTGCTTTTGTTTTGGCAGAATTTCTATTGGGCACCCGTAGGTTTCTGCCATGCCCGGTTGGGGGATGGCGGCACTTGTTCTCCGGTCACCGCGACTTGTCCAGAGAAAAATGCCGCCCGGTGGCCGAGGATCGAACCGCGATCGGCTGCGTCGCAGCGGACGCGTCAGACCACTCGGTCACCTCGTCCCCCACACACATATTTTTGTCACACTTCTTGAATCAATCTAAAATTCTAAAATATAATACATTTCAACAAATAATATGTTTAAAATTTGATTTAACATTATTCAAACAATAATTACACCCATAAATACGTTGAAAGGGCTATAGCTATATACAATTATTTATTAGATGTACAAAATGTATCTAATAAGATAATTTAACACATCTGGATTTAAAATATAATGATAATATTATGAATTATGATACAACATAAAAGGTATACCTACATTATATGTAAAATATCACGTGCTTGAGATATCGACTTCCACAAAATTAAGATAAAATAATTTTGATCCTAACACATAGTTACATACTACATGCTCTACCACCACTCACTGACACCATAACAATACAACGTAGCCCAAGCTCTCTTATGGATGTCATATAGCTACCTTACACGTCCCCCCTCCCCCACTTCCATCACAATCAACCCATTTAATGTGTTGTTATGTGGTTATCACATTAACCATAATAACCATATTCAAGTGAGTTTACTAGTCGGATACAACTGATATATTTACATAAGCTTGACAAGCTATGTACCTTATTAAGTTTCAGGAAAACGGAACTATGACAGTCTATCGATTATGTTGTGTGATTCACTGTAATTGTTATAATATTGTATCATTTAAAATTAAAATATATATTTATCTTCACGTAATTTATGAGATGCTGAAAAACTGAATTTGTCACCGACTTTTTATCTTAGTCAAAATAATATAAGGTTCCTCGAAATTCGTAATAACAGCAGTTCAAATATATTAAAGATCAATATGCAACATTTTTTGTGAAATCCGTTCGATCCAGAATTGAACGCCATGACGAGGAGCAACGAGAAAAATGACTGACATTTTCTTAAGGTTTTTAAAACTAAAATCAAATAAAAATTTCATAAAAATAGCCATATGATTGCAAAATCCTCAAATTCCGTGAATAAAATATATATTTTGAAAAATGTTCTGTATAGATTTTCAGTAAGAATCTTTTGAAATTCTAAAATCTGCATAAATTAATTAACTATCGAAACATAAAATGGGAGATTGAGATTAAAAATCACCCTGTAAAGACGTTTTATTATGCACGGGGACTATAGAAACGCATTCGGTTTGGGATCGCTCAGGGCTCAGAGTTGTGCTGTTTATATGGGAATGTTTGGGTTTGTAATTCTTTGTAACTCTAATATTGTAAATTTGTTGGCTGTTAAACACTTTTTTCTATTAATCTCGTTATATTGCGCCAATCATATATAAGCCAACTAAAAGGCACTGTGCCCCGAGGGCTGTAATTGTATTCCGTATAAAATTACGATTTACTGTAAAATTTACATTTATAGAGGTTTAGAATATGATGGAGAGGGGGGAGAATTTCACCTGGGCTTGAAAATTCCGAATAATATAATCTCTGCCGCATACGTTAACACGTAACACGTAGATATAACCTAATCAAAACATAAATAGTAAGTACTAAGTACACTTTATAATTTAACACACATTGTGCATACCTAGTCTTTGTATAATGAATAATTATATTGTTATATTAAAACATAATCATCAACAATTGTTCAGTACTTATGTATATAAGTTAATTCAGATAACGATATTAAAAACTTTAGTATGAAGCAACCTTATTTGGTAACTCCTTATAATTTTACTTGTACACAACTAAATAAGCACAACTCTTATTTTATTTATCATTATTCACTTTTCAGGTATCATGGATGGAAGTTGTTTTGTTATTAAGGAGTTATGTGTAGGAATTCATTCGGTTCATGCAGGCGTGGATCGTATTATGAAACCAAAATGTATGGCAGTAAAATACCTACTAAAATGATTTGGTTAATTATTATTTTTTTATAGTAGACTTTTATTCATTATTTCACTATTCTTCATAATCAAATATTGAACTTTAATTTCATTTTAAATATTTAAGTAGGTAGGTATACAAAGTTGAGTAATATAATAATTATTTATTGTTAGGTAATAAAATATAAATGTAAAATATTTAGCTCAATAATCGTTTTCCTGAATTGCATAGTTTAAAAATAAAATATAATAATTATTCACAAATGAAGATTTTTTTCAAATCCTATAGATAATTAAGTTATATTTTCAGGATCTAGGACAATCGGTCCCCGGACAATTGGTCCCCGCGAAAAAATGCGGCATGCGGACAATTGGTCCCCGTCATAATTTCATACACGGACAATTGGTCCCCGGCTTAAAAGTTAAACACAAAATAATTTTTTAAAACATTCTCATATAATTTAATTNTTATAAATAAATAACAACAAATAGTCCATTCTTATCTACGGGCAGCGAGCAGTTTATAACAGTTTTCAGAATTGAATTATCAACAATATCCAAGGAGTTATTAAATAAAATAATTTATAGCATTCCAAGGGGTTCTCAAAATTGTCTATGACTATACCTGTAGCTGTTATACCAATAGTTCTAGCCAATAGCCACAAAGAATAACAACATAATATAGTGTTTCATTTACCTATTTCTTTTATACCTTTTTTCGTGTTACCCATGAAACGAAAAATATTTTAATATTATAACAGATAAAATTATACCAAAATAGAACATATTATAATTTATCACTTATGTTTATGTATCTATTTAATTTTATACGGTTTTCAATATTTTTTGTTATCATTTATAAATTGTATTGACACACATTATTCAATTATTGTGTTGAAATACGTATACTTTGTGCTTTGCTTTTTTTTATTGTGATTTATTTCACAAATCCAAATTACCGCAATGTCCAAAAAGCTATCGAATGAAGAAATAGCTCGAGAACTAGATGAATATATTGCTAATTCTGAATCTGAAGATGAATTATACGATTTTGATCTAGCTAATGATGATTCTGATCCTAGTTTTTGTAAGTGTATTTGATGTGTTAGTTGTCTTATAATAAAATAATATATAATATTTTTTAAATTGTTTAGATCAATCGAGACCAGTTGATAATAATTTTATTTTGATAAATTCTAATACAAACTCACAGTCAAATGCTAATGGTGTATATAATTCTAATCAAGTGCAATATAACACACCTACTGAGATTAGCCAACACGATTTACAAGCCTCTGGTAAGTTTTGATTTCATTACAAGTAAATTAAAAAATTTTGCATAATTTATTATTTATTTAGGTCTATTACATGATGACCAATATTTATTCAAAGATGTTGATATTGATGAAGCTCTGGAAAATTTTGAAACTGATTTCCAAGACTATTGTAAGTGTATATTTTATTTTATGTATACTAAGTACTAAGTTACCAAGAAATATTATTGTTTACAATACAAAATTCATTATATTGTAATACAACATTAGACAATTTGTCTAACCACATTCTCAATATAAGAAATGAAGTATTTTATAACATTTTATAATGTTATTAGTGAGTAAAGTGTGACAAGATGTGTAGTTAGTGAAGGCTAGTTCCACATAGTTTTGTGTGCTGTACTAAAAAGAGTAATATATATATAAATGTATATGATAAAAATTAGGCTCTGAAATGAACACAATTAGCTAATTCTAATTTTATTAAAAATATTTTTTAGTTTCACAGAATGAGTCTTTTCAGTCTCCTTCTTCAAGTATTACACTACAGTCAAGAGCATCTTCAGATGCATTTTCATCTAACATCCATAGACCCTCAAGATCATCTAAAGCTCCTAAAGCAATCAAGACATTAAAATGGAAAAAAAATGCAAATAAGTTTCAACCAAAAATTCATAAATTTAACTCAATCAATGTACCTATGTTACTGTTTGTTATTTTCTATATATCCAAAAATGAATTAAATATGTGTTTTTTTTTCAGAGTGGTGTTCAATGTGAAGAGTTTGATTTAAATGAAGCCTCACCTGTTATAGATTATTTAGAAGCATTTATTACAAATGATTTGATTGGAAAAATTGTTTTTGAGACTAACAGGTACGCTCAGGAGCAACCGATTATTTCAGAACATTCAAGAATGGTTTATTGGAAAGATACAAGTATGGAAGAATTATACATATTTTTAGGAGTCACTATTTTAATGGCTAGGAACAAAAAGTTAGATATGCATGAATATTGGTCAACTAATGAATTATTACGTCAGGATATTTTTGGTAAATGTAAGAGTAGAGACAGATATTTACTTATCTTGCGTTGTATTCACTTCTGCGACAATAGTCAACAAATCAAAGGAGATAGGCTCTACAAAATTAAAATGGTTTTGACTGAAGTAAGAAAGAATTTCAAAGATGCTATGATTCCTTTTTCAAATCTGGCCATTGATGAGAGCTTACTTTTGTGGAAAGGGCGTCTGTCATTTAAACAATATATCAAAAGTAAAAGACATAGATTTGGTATCAAGCTTTATGTAATATGTGACTGTGAAACTGATTTTATTCTGAACTTTATTGTGTATACAGGAGCTACTGTATACAAAGATCCATTAGAAGACATACTTGGTAGATCTGGTGTTATCGTAAAAGATCTAATGAAGCCATATTTAAACAAAGGTTATTCATTATTCACAGATAATTTTTATACCTCACCACAATTATCTATGTATTTACATAAAAGAAAAACAAACACATGTGGTACTGTTAGAAAAAATCGTAAACTGATGCCAACTATTGAAGGTAAGCTAAAATTAGGTGAACGAGAAGCTCGGTGCACTGACAAACTTTTAGCGATTCATTGGAAGGACCGTCGTGACGTATACATGTTAACATCTATGAATACAAATGAAATGGTAGACACAAAAAAGATAGATAGGAAAACAGGAAAAAAATATCTTAAGCCAAAATGTGTAGTTAGTTACAACAAAAATATGGGTGCAATAGACAAGACAGATATGTTATTGAGTTCTACCGAATGTGTTAGGCGTACATTGAAATGGTACAAAAAACTATTTTTTCATATTATTGATATGAGTATGCTAAATGCATATTCAGCCTATAAAACAGTTACAGGTAAGCATATTTCATTAGCTGACTTTCAGCTAACTTTGATTAATGAAATATTACAAAAATACAAATCCAGTGTGAAAACAACTCCAAGTAAAGGTAAAAAAATAATAAGTACAGACAGCCGTTTAAGTGAAAGACATTTTCCAGATTTAATACCACAAACATCAAGTAAAAAACAAAGGAGAAAATGCTTTGTTTGCAGCCACAAGACTGAGGGGAAAAAAAGAACAGATACATTATATCAATGCAATGAGTGCAATGTAGGTTTATGTGTTGTACCATGTTTCAAAATATATCACACACAACAAACTTTTTAATATATACCTAATAATATATCAGTCACACATGTCAAAACAAAAAAAAAGTATTATGTATAATAAAAGTTATGTTTTAAAGTTAAAAATAAATTTTTTTTTTTTGTTATTGTAGTTTTTTCAATCATTAAATTTTATAGAATTTGGTTTATTTATACATAATATTACTCAATCACCGTATCATCGCATAGCTCTTGCACATTTTGAGAACCACCGGTAATGAATAAGAAAACTTGCTATAACTTGGTAAGTTTTGATCAAAAAATTTTTTTTCTAATTTTAAAAACTTCAGAGTGTATAGATTTATCAATATTAGGTGATAAAATAATTAAATTAATTTATCAAATTTGGTCAGCACAGGACCGTTACATTCAATTTTAGCCTTCAGCAGTGAAAGGGTTAAATAACATAAAATATTACCGGGGACCAATTGTCCGCGTCTAAAATAATGACGGGGACCAATTGTCCGCATGTCGCATTTTTTCGCGGGGACCAATTGTCCGGGGACCGATTGTCCGTTTACCATATTTTGATTCACAATACATTTTTGCAATACAGCACATTATGTCCGATAATTTTTTCACAACAGGCTATACACGTCCATTAATAAATAATAAATAATAACTAAGATTGAAGTGCACCAACATCTAAAATCTCCAATCACAAAAAAGAGAATAATTATATAATTCATTTTAGTTTTAACATTTGACATATTATATGTAATATGTATAATGTATATAAATATCTAAATTCAAAACCAAATCCCATTAAAGTAAATTTGGAACAATCTTTGTTTTTGAATTTGCATGATATTGCAGATATATATATATCCCACATTATATTTATCACAAAGAAATACATTTAGTTCAATCGCATTCTGAAGAAAAATATTCGTATAAACGTTACATAATCCTTGTCAGCATAGCCGTTTTTTATTTCGTGTTCACTCTCATTAACATCGACCAGCAGTTTCTTTTTATGTTATAAGTCATACATAATAGTATAAAACAATGTCCAGATTCGATTGTAATAATTTGATATTCATTTTGAGATAAAAATCTGATTTTATGCTCGGTGAAGTCAACGAACTACTAAATTCATTCATATACATATTTAAACAATTTGAATAGAATTTATAGCATAGTGAGATTTTTTGGGGGAAAAAATTACTTTTCAGAGGACGTAAATAAAGTACTATAGCAAATAACTTTATTATAGTATAATGTTATTATCAGCCAATATAATACACCGAAAGATATTCAAATTAAATTTACCATATAGGTACGTGATGAGATTTCTTGGATGATGACGTGATTATAAAGTTATATTAATAACTGATTAATTTCAAATATAAATTGACTGTTTTACAACTTTAACTAATGAAATATTTGAACAGGTTTATAGATTCCCGGATACTATGAATTGAAGGTAAATAAATATATAGGTACCTACCAAACTGTCAAAACTACAAGCATGACGTCATGGCGCATCGTCTGTATAATCCATAAATTCATAACCCTTTAGGCTATAACATTATTAAAAGCATAGTAAATAATTAATATTTCATAAACAAACCCAAATCAACTCAACAAAATATAACAATTTCATAAAGATCCTTAAGTGTCAGTAATGTCACACATTTTATTTGTTTTAACCATAATATGTTTTTCTTGTAAAATTAATATAATGTCAGTATTATATTATATTGAGGGAAATTATTCATTGATATTGATTTTTAATAATATTATAAATAAGTTATTAACATTTGTAAAATGGGTGCACACTTTAAAATACACACAGGTACAATATAACGGCAAGCCAATACATACTAACATGGTTTTGATATAATAAAAAACAATATCAAATATTATAATATGACGTATTTACTATTTACAAGCTATGCGTACATGTATCATGCACTAGACTACAAGTAAGATGTCAATGTACAGAAAAAATAAATCCACCATTATTGTCAACGTTTTAGACTAAAATAAATGGTGGCAAAGTGATACATTTCATACTGCTCTGGGACTGCCGGGAGATAACAAAGATATTCAATTATAACAATAAAATCATATTGGTGGTCACCTCAAAAGTTATAAGCTTAACACATACCACATTTTTAATGTCTATTAATATTAAATCACACATACAAATAAATTTAACATTTATTTTTATTTTTTAACATTTTAAATATTTATAATTGGATATAATATTATATACTATATTTAATGTTTTTACCATTTCATCAAAAATATATTTTAGAACTCAAATCGTAAAATAGTACTCGGACACCTAAAAAAATATCGAGATAAAACATTTTTCAAAATGTACCTTTAACTTTATGGCTTTACGGAGACAATCAATTCAATGAAGAAATTATTAAACTTAACAATTATTATTCTGTATAAAACTGTGATATTTACCAGGAAAAGCCAACACAGGTATTTTACTTTCCGAAAATTTAAAAAAAAACCATTCTAAAACTTATTACAACCATTCAAAGTCTAAAATAAATGTTTACATAATAAACCATAAAGAATATAATTCAAATATCAATAATATTCAACTGTTTATTTAGACAAGTTCAACCTTTTGAAAACCAAATTTTTACCTCTGTTGATTTAACAATACCAATATTAAATATTTAACAATATATCAATAGATACTAAATATTCAAGAATTTGAATACCTACTCGATTCTTTTCTTAATCCACATAAGTCTACTTAAAAATATATCAGGACCAGATATTACTATTATGTTTTCAGTCAAAGCAAAATAGTTTTCAAGTTTTTATTTTTTTACTAAATGTATAAAGTAATAACAAAACTACCGATTCAAATGTATGAGGAATTCATTATTTATATTCGTGATAATACTTTCTTGGTTTTTCTGTGCATACAAATATACAATATAAAATGTAGATCAAACAAATTATCATCATACTTGCAATTAAAATTTGATAAGTACAATAAATTATTGAAAATTCAATTCGATTCGTTCATAACATACATTTACGAAATCAATATAATCAATATCATTGTTTCTAACAAAATTCATTTTAAGTATTGAATTTATTTTCCATAATTATGTTCAAATAACTTCACCAAGAATAATCGAGAGAAATATAGCCTTTGAGAGCGCGGATCCGGGGCGTTTTTAGTACAAAAACATGTCTTCCAGGAAAAACTGTCATGCCTTATAGAATAGTCGGATTTCGTTAACTTTTTTTTATTTAAAATAGAGAACATTTTTCAGGTCAGATCAAAGCCCGATTTTCTAATTTACCAATTTATAACTACAAAAGCTAAAATATGAATTAGAATAATGGACAATGCTTATAATTTTTCAAACGCACTTTTCAACCACTTTTTTACATGAAATGAAAATTAGAGCTTTGATCCGATAACTGTAAAAAGTTCCCATATTTTAGAAGAAATAAAATGATCAAAATCCGACTTACCGATGAGATGAAAGTTTTTCCTGTAAATTAATTTTTATTGAAATAATACACCTATCCCCCTACCACTTAATAAATAAGTATCGGCCAGTAGATAAGTGGAAATTTATTTTAATATTATGGTGCTTAGTAATCAAAATATAAAATATAATTTTCAAATAGTATAGAATTTCGAAAAATTTTGAAAACCATTTACGTCACCTACAATGCGATATCAAACAATGTTTAAGTATGATAACAGTTTCTCCGGGATTTATCAGTTATCAGTATATTAAGTCTTGTTATAGGAATAAATGTTTTTTTTTAAATTATCACAAGTTTAGTTTTAGATGTATTTATTGTAATTTACTAATATAACAAGAATAAAATAATAATATGAACAATCGTATACTCTATTTATCAAAATATATTAAAACTTGTTAAATTAATTATATAATGTTTTTTATTTACAAAGGTTTAAACTCCAAAGTTTAGAATACGATCATTTTGATCTATCCGACCAGGAGGATGCCTTACTTTAAAATAATCATTTATGAAACATGTATGCTATTTTTAACACTAAGACTTGAACATTTAACACAGGTAAATTTGTAGGTAAATTGAAATGAAGTAAAATAATACTCATCATATTCAAAAAAACTAATCTAAATCAAGGCTAGTTAATAGCTCGCTGATAATTCTTATAAACATTTTCTACCTTTAAAAAGTAAGACATACAACTTATATTAGGTACAAGTGATTAAAAAAAAAAATCGAAAGTCTTTAAATAATTTATTTCAAGTGTTTTAATAAATATATTGTAGGTAGTGTCTATAAATAGTGCCATTACTCATTATAATCACTGATTAATATACTAACAGATATTATAATACTTACATTAAACGGTATATTATTATAACCATATAGGCTAAAGGATTAACAATATGAATCTTGGCTTACTAAAATTCAAACCGGTTTTGTATACATTTAATAATGATAACCCAATTATCCAATTTACCCAAATTTTAATCCCAGACCAGTTTATTCGGCCTCCATATTTGAAGTCTTTGCTTCATACTGTCCTTGAGTTATATACACGACAAGCATAAAACCATTCTTTTTATTATTTTAACCAAATTTAATAGAATACAGCTAATATTTCAATATTTTTCCCTTTTAAATGTTAAACAATTATTATTACATTTCTAATGAATGTTTACAAGAAATGTTTTGAAATTAATTTTATCGTTGTATTTCATTAATTATTTCTGGTAGGTAATATAAATTCATTGGTAACACAAATAATAATTAATTTATCAACATTTGTAATTCATGCTATAGTAAAACTATAAAATATTGTCATTAATACATAAATATATAGGTACATACATAATATAAGACATATAAGTAAGAATTTTGAACAGTTTAAAACTACAAAGAATATCAATCATTTTACACAAAATTCAACAGATGCTCGAGTTATGTAAAAATAATATAAAATATTTTTCGTTTTTAATTCGACCGCAGAACGGTGTAAACCTAATAGCCCTACTAAAGGTTATGTGCCTTATGTACAATAATGTCGATAAATATGTCATAACTATATCAGAGTCTTGTACCGTATTAAAGCAAATTTGTCAAATACAATTCCTATTCGCATTTTTAATATTTTATTGTTGGTTTCATTGATAGTCAAAATAGTCAAATATGAAAAAAGGGAAAATAAAATCATATTTTTAAGGTGAGAAGATAAATATTTTTTTCAAACTCACAGTCTGGCAGAGTAAATCACAATATGTCTAATTGATTAGGCGAGTAATTATTAATATATTATATATCCCACCAATTTTATTGATGCCAAAACTATCACTCTTCAATTTTTATAGTTCTATAATATAATATTAATTTACTTTGTTATAGGCACTTGTGTTATTTACTATACTCATTTAG